CCATTGAAGAGAATATAGAAGGATAAATGTAAAAAACAGTCACTTCATTGTACTTCACGATGTCAATTGTTTTGTTGCGAGGTGACTTGGCGAGGTTCTCATGCATGATATAATACAGCATGTTAAAGATCGATTGTAATGGATACGACCAACTAAGTACATGTGACGCCAAGAGAATTGTGCAGCTTGTAAAACATTTCTAAAACACTTTTTATGCGACGACGTGATTTCGTTTTTTTTGTATTGCCCAGCAGCCGAGCAGATCAGCTAGTCTTTGGTAGTTGTCTGGAAAATCTAAATGTAAATCATTGTGATGTCATGGCACACATATTTGCCGAGGACGAATCATTTGGAAAATCTGGAGCAATTGTTTCGGAGCCGATGCCGTTCGATACACAACAGGTGTCCATACCCTCTCATTGTAACCCACTTAAAGTGCATGAATTTAATTTTTTTTTTCGTTAGCATGGAACTCATGTTGAGATCGTTGCCAAGCTTTTGTCTTACTTTTTTGTTAAGAAAACACACAAAAAGAAAACAAAACCACCTAAGCTTTGAGTACGGAATATTTTGAGCAAGTTTTTTTGTCTTGTCGGCTTCATATGGTCTCTATACTACATGCGCAGACTTGGCGTGCTTTGTCCTTTCCAATATGCTGTTGTTATTCTAAGCATGGTAATGGTCGTCACCATCGCCATTGCTTGTGTGTTCGCAGTCAGTCCGTCTATCGCATTAAATTCCAATTGATCTCCATTGAAATGTTAGGAATTCTTAGCATAACAAATCTGTTTCGCCATATTAAGACTCCATCGAATAGACCATAAATTAGCTGGGATGATAGAGACCATAGAATGGACCACAACACATAATCGAATCGAATCAGCATTGCTAGTAAATGTTTTCAGGATACTCCTAACTTGTGATAGACCAGGGCATTTTATAGAAAAGTTCCAAATAAAGGTGCAGGTCTTTAAACAAAATTTTCTGTTGAAAAAAATTGCAAATTTTCATTAATTAAACCAGTAAAGAAAGTCTTAAAGTCGGGCGGGGCCGACTTTATGATACCCTACACCACTTTGCTAATGTAGTAGCAATGGGAGAATTCAATCATACACGCTATGATTATAATTATAATTTAAAGTTCAAAAGGACTAAATATGCCGAAGCATTTGTATCTTCTAAATTCGGACTTGTATTGCCCATTTGGTGCACAATTAATTTGAAATCGGATAAAGATATATATGGGAGCTATAGCCAAATCGTAACCGATCTCCATAAAATTTCGCAAAGATATTTCTGAGCTGTATACGATATATTTCCCTGAATATCGTTGTTACGGAGTGCATATTACGACTGTGGGTAACAAATACAACAAATCGGATGAACAATATATATGGGAGCTATAGCTATATCTGAACCGATCTTCACCAAATTTGACATACTAGCTTCTAGACTCAATTCGGTCGTAAGTGCCAAATTCCATCCCATTTGGACAAATATCAGACGTTTGGTGCACAATAAAACGTAAATCGGTCGAAGTTTTATATGGGAGCTACATCCAAATCTGAACCGATCTCGATAAAATTTGGCATACTTATTTCCAAGTCTAATTTGGTTGTATGTGCAAAATTTTATACTATTCGGGCTGATAATACACGTTTGGGCACCATAAAAAGTAAATCGGACGAAGATATATATGGGAGCTATATCTAAATTTTGACCGATTACCTCCAATAGGGTTTGTCCTTGGTCCAAAAAAATAATTTGTGCAAAATTTTATCTGGATCGGGTAATAAATGCGAACTGTACTTTTTTTACAAAAATACATGGACAGACGGACAGACGGACGGACGGACATGTATAAATCGACTTAGAATGTGATTCTATGCAGATCATCAAAAGGAACTATGAGTCTATCTCATTTCCTTTTGCCTGTTACGAACAAATGCACAAAGACATAATACCCTGACCACCTTGTGGTGAAGGGTATAAAAATATGACTCACTCACGGTTTAGTTTTGTTAAAGAGAATAAATATCGGGATTCTTTGGAAGCAGTTTTTTCCATAGAACAAATATCCAAATACGGAATTTTTCCTGTAAAAATAATTGTTGGTTGGTTGAGTCATCAGGACGCATGTAGCTTAGGAAAAATGCTCAGCCACCTGTCTCGGAATTTTTATACCCTCCACCATAGTATGAAGGGACTTTTGGTATTGAAAATGGGTGATGTAGGTAAACGTTTTGTTATAGCCCCCATATAATGGTATGGGATTTAAGCGACATTATTCACCGGAATTGTTTCAAATTTTGTATTTGAAGTTCGTAATGGATACTACAGTCTAAGACAGAAAATTGTCTGTGTTGGTCCACGTCTTCGTATAACCCTCATATAACGGGGCCTCCCGATATTCGGTATTTTGATGATTTTAGCGACATTATTAACCGGAATTGTTTCAAATTTGATATTTGAAGTTCGCAATGGATACTGTAGCCTAAGACAGAAAATTGTCTGTGCAGGTCCACGTCTTCGTATAGCCCCCCTGTAAAGAACTCCGATTTTTTTAAGATTTTAAAATTTAAGATTTCTTTTTAAGATTTTAACAGAATTTTTAACGGATTTTATTGTTTCTGAGATTTGCCAAATTCGTTCCAAATGATGGAGGGTATAGCTTTTTTACTTGTTTTTCTATAAAAATGTGGTTTTATGGTTGTTTCTTTTTCAAAATAGTCCATCTATTGATCTATCGGAGACACAGTTTTTTCTATAGACAAAATTCGAGGTTTCAATGGTCGCCGTTTTTATTTTCTATAGACAAATAACATAGAAGACATGGATTTTTACAGAACTACATTTGGAATCTTTCTTGATACAGTTTTATCTAAAGAAACAATTTTCAGTTCATTAGCGAAGTGTATTTAATAAAAAAAAAAAAAATAAAATAACTCGGCATAGTGTTGGTTCTAGAGAGTCCAAGGATCTGAAAACTGTAAGAATTTTTTTTTTCATATCGAAAAAATCAGTCTTTCCAAAAACAAAAAAAAATAAAAATGCGGAGGGAATTTGTCTCAAAGGACTCACACTTTGTATAGAAAAACTGTGTTCTTGGGACTTACGATTGCAACTTTGCGAGTTGCTCTACTCATCACCTTATTCTTCGTCTCAGGTTGTCTGCCTCAGTTGATCGCCGCTGGCTGTAAGCAGATAAGACATTTGCCCTATCCACCTTTTGCTTCAGCTCCATCAACAGTGTAACGACTAAAGTTGTTGAGTCAACTGATGAGTTCGGTGGAGTTGGCTTAGAGCAGCGGTGCTCAAGAAGAAATATCTCTTTTCAGTCAAATTTCTCTTTGCTTATTTAAATCAAGAACAAAACAGTGTTAAGTCATTATTTATACAAATATTTTTTATCAATTTGCTTTATAAATTATTTTGGCAAACATTCGTGTTTAAAAACAATTAAATAGAACCGTAAAACATAAAGAAAAACAGAATTTTAATTTTCTCTTAAATTATCTCTTTTTTCTCTTCATGTTCTAGAACACGGTTTTGAGCACCTCTGCTTAGAGAGTTTTGAATCAGAATTCAGTTTGCTCTTTTTTTCCGTACTTTTTATGATAATTCCTATTGAACAGCATAATGAACTTCAACTTCAAAACAAATCAGTGAGTTTTGAGGGAGCCCCAGCGACATATCGACTACAGTAATTTATCACTAGTAAAAATGTTCACCTTCCCTTGTCTACCGGGATTTGGTACTTTTTTGGCCTGGAGTAGTCAGCAACTCTTCTATTTTCTAAATGATTGTGTAGAAAGCGAGGGCTTATCGTTACTAACCGATTATACAAATATTGGTCGAGCAGGACTTGCCATGTTACCGTGCCCAGCGTTTTCCAGCAGGGCATTCTTGGCTGGAGGCCAAGGCATGAATTACCGTATTATGAAGATGTAGTCAGTCAATTCAAGAAATCCGCAAGAAAAATATCCTGAGTCAGCCTGAAAGGTACCCTATAGTTAATAATCTGACATATTGCCTTCTTCTGTCGGTAAAATCTTTCATTTACTAAGTCCAGCGTTGGAGCACTTTCCCATTCCCAATGGTTCTGATTTTTTGCCCATGTCCGATGTAATGTTTCTATAAGTTGATGTAGGGGGTATTCTGCTCGTTTGTAGCTTGATCGGTATCAATCGAAGTTAAGCTTATTTTGGAGGGAGGGTTTTTGATTTCGTTTTTCATACTTCATTAGATTATGAAGGGGCTGTGATCGATCATGGCATAGACTACTTTTCACGTCAAAGACTTACACTTAATATTCTTTGAGCTGTCCATATATCAACGAATAGAATTTTGTCTGAACCTTGACTTCAAAACTGTAACACTGACAACAACCCATCGTTAGAGCGACCTCTCTGTGTGAGAACTAGCATATTTTAGGGACACCGAAACATCGCCCCTTTAGTGTAAGGATCATTGGAATTCGGATCTTTAATAAGAGACTGTCCCCCAAATCAGCAAACAGTCCGCGACTGCTTGGGATCTCCATTAATCCCAAGCTTTGGATTCGTCTAAGGTATGATCCCATAATGTGAAAATATAGACTGCCTTCAGATCAAATTTATAAATAATTCAGCACGTCTAACAACTTTACCTTCATGTCGTCTAGAAAGACTCACTCCTGTACGTCCATAGAGACTGCATTTACCTCTTTTTCAGACTACATGCAGCTTCTCAATACAGACTTCCTTTAACTCCCCTATAAAAACTCTCTTCTGCTCGTCTATAAAGATTCTCTTCTACTCGTCAATTTAAAACTCTCTTCTGCTCGTCTATAAAGACTCTGTTCTGTCGGTCTATAAAGACTCTCTTCTGCTTTTCAACTACGACATCCTTCAACTTTTTCAGTAGAACAAATAAAATTCTCGTTGGAAATTCTGATATATAATATAGGAAGTATATTTTTGCCACTGAACTAATATTCCTTACCTTTCTCTTTATTTTAGATGATCTGGAGAATAGAATTAGGCGTCCTTTTGACATTCATTTGTCAGGCGTTGAGCATAAAAGTTTCCACAACTGGCTATCACATATTACACAATGAACATGGTGTTGATGCCTTTCCCCAACACAGATACGTTCCTTCGGCACCAGGATTTCCAGCATCAGCATTTGCGCTGCCATTAGTAAGGTAAGAGAAGTGTAAAGTTTCCCAAATTTAGACATCGATTTATAACTTTTCTTTCTTTGTAGTAATGCTGTGCCAACAGGTTTTGCTCCCACATCACCAGCCCCAGCCAATCCCTTTGTAACATTGTCAACACATGGTCCATATGGACCACAATTCCCTCAGCCGGGCCGGGCCCAATGTGCCGTACCACCGCCAGTGTGTGAAAAGTCTACATATCGTACTTTGGATGGTTCATGTAATCACTTGGAACGTCCTCAACTGGGTATGGCCAATACACGTTATGGCCGCCTCTTGTCGCCACGATATGCCGATGGAGTCAGCGCTCCCACAGCCTCGGTAACGGGACAAGATTTGCCCAGTGCTCGTTTGGTGTCATTGGTAATCTTTGGTGAAATGGATGTACCCGATCCAGAATATACCCTCATCAACATGCAATGGGGTCAGATTATGACACACGATATGTCTATGCAGGCTGGTGGTACACAGTCCAGTAAGTTGTACCCACCAAAAAAAAATGTAGTACATATCAAATAATTTAATAAATTAAATTCCCTTTTTACAGAAAAACATCCCACTCGTTGTTGTACCGACGATGGCCGTTTGGTCGGTTTAGATACCGCCCACAAAACTTGTTTCGCCATTATTGTACCAGATCATGATCCAGTCTACTCTCAAGTTGGCACAGAGTGTTTGAATTTCGTACGTACCTTAACCGATCTGGATGCTCGTTGTCCCGACTATCGTGGCGGACCAGCTGAACAACTTACCACCGTCACGTCATACATGGACTTATCATTGGTCTATGGCAATTCCATACAACAAAATAGTCAAATTCGTGCCTTCCAAGGTGGTCGCATGATTGTCGAGAGACGTAATGGTGCCGATTGGTTGCCAGCATCGCGTAACGTTACCGGAGATTGTGATGCTATCGAACCGACAGAAGTTTGTTACACCGCCGGTGATATTCGTGTCAATCAAAATCCTGGTCTTACCATTTTACACACCATTCTGTTGAGGGAACACAATCGCATTGCTGGAGAACTGGCTAAGTTGAATCCTCATTTTGATGATCGCACACTGTTCCAGGAGGCTCGTAAAATCAATATTGCCCAATATCAATATATCAGTTACTACGAATGGTTGCCAATATTTTTGGGTGCCGAAAATATGCTTAAGAATCGTTTGATCTACAAGGTGCCCGAAAAGGCTCCAGTTAATGATTTTGATCCCAGCATTGATCCATCGGTGATTAATTCACATGCCACAGCTGCTTTCAGATATTTCCATTCACAAATCGAAGGAAGATTGGAGTAAGTATGGGGATAGGATATCTACTTTACCAATACATCGCAAATTAAGTTCGTTTAGAATTTCGTTTCGATTATTTCAATGACCAAATATTTTCATTTTTCCTTAGAGATGATTCTACTTTTATGAAATATATCGTCTATTAAGACGCCCTTCAATCCTCTCGTCTATAAAGACTCCCTTCAGCCATCTGGTTTATAAAAACGCCCTTCAGCCATCTCGTCTATAAAGACGCCCTACAGCCATCTCGTCTCATCTATAAAGACTCCCTTCAGCCATCTCGTCTATAAAGACTCCCTTCAGCTCGTCTATAAAGACGCCCTTCAGCCATCTCGTCTATAAAGACATCCTTCAGCCATCTCGTCTATAAAGACACCCTTCAGCCATCTCGTCTATAAAGACACCCTTCAGCCATCTCGTCTATAAAGACACCCTTCAGCCATCTCGTCTATAAAGACACCCTTCAGCCATCTCGTCTATAAAGACACCCTTCAGCCATCTCGTCTATAAAGACACCCTTCAGCCATCTCGTCTATAAAGACGCCTTCAGCCATCTCGTCTATAAAGACGCCTTTCAGCTCGTCTATAAAGACGCCCTTCAGCTCGTCTATAAAGACGCCCTTCAGCTCGTCTATAAAGACGCCCTTCAGCTCGTCTATAAAGACGACCTTCAGCACGTCAGCAAACAAAGACGATATAGAGAGACCCTTCTGTTGGTCTACAAAGAGTCCAATCAGCTCGCATTTAATGAATGCGGCTCATTAATAGGGACTTCTTTCGGATAACCTATTGAACACCTGTATCAATCACAAATATCCACTTGCAGAAAATTATGGGAAATTCCGCTAACTTTGGCACTCATACCAACATTTGCATTCTGTTTACAATTCAATATAATTGTATTTCAACCAATCATTACGTCTTCTAATTTTGACATCCATTATCTATCTATTATTTCCCAAATCCGTTTACCAGCAATCTAACGATTTTCTAATTAAATGAATGTTTTGATTTTATGTTTTGCCTGCTAATCTTTGTGTTCTGTCTCGTTTTTTACATATTTCGTGCAGCTTGTTATCAGAATTGAGATCAGTTTTGGGCTCATTGCGACTAAGTGACTGGTTCAATCGTCCCGGCATCATAGAAGTTGGCGACAACTTTGATTCACTAACACGTGGACACTCAACACAGCCAGAAGAATTAACCGACATAAACTTCGACAGAGAGGTAAGTTCACAAAACAAAAATCCATGCCATGATTTATTTCACTTGGTGTTGTCAATGGCGACGCCACCTCTACTAGCCCCAATCGCAATTACTTTATTTATGGTTTCTGTTTTTTTTTTTGTCTCATTTTCAGATTAAACACTTCTTGTTCAGACGTAATATGCCATTTGGTAGTGATTTGAGAGCCATTGATATCCAACGTAATCGTGACCACGGTTTGGCCTCCTACAATGACTTCAGACAATTCTGTGGCCTGAGAAGAGCTCAGAGTTGGGAGGATTATACTGACCTCATTGATCGTGCGGTATGATAAAAATAGTTCACAGTAAATTCGAATGTAAACCGATTCCTTTCATTTTCCATAAATAGATCGTTGAAAAGCTGAAAACACTGTATCCCAGCCACGAAGATGTTGAAATAACCGTAGGTGGTTCATTGGAGTCTCATGTGGCCGGTGCATTGGCTGGCCCAACATTCTTATGCATTCTGACTGAACAATTCTATCGTACACGTGTTGGTGATCGTTTCTTCTTTGAGAATGGCGAAAAATATGTTGGATTTACTCCAGGTATGTTGTATCGTAGGTGACCTGTGAAATAAAATATGGTAATTGCAAATGGAAGATTTTTGGGACTCCATTCTTGTCACTCATAAGGACTTGTTGTCGTTGGTATGTCATTAAAAAAACTGTTCTAATATAAAAACTTTTCTTCGGCAAGCTATGATCCTATTTGGCCTTGCTCAAAGGCAATAAAATAGAGGATCTCTAAAAGAAATTTTCAGTGGAATTCCCAGAGCCGATTTAAAAGGGGATTCCCTAAGTTATAGGCGTGGATTTTTAAAGTCATTTTCATGGGCTCCCAGAGTTATGATCAAAGATCTCAGTTATAGGCAGAATTTCTAAATTCATTTTTTAGGAACTCCCAAAGCAAAAAAAAATGTATTTCTCAAGGAATGACGGACTCCCTGAGCTGATAGTACAAGAGCTAAACGCTTGGATTTTTAAAGCATATTTTTAGAGAGGCTCCAAGAGCAATGATATTGGATTTTTTTAGGACTCGAAGGACTCCTAGAGTTATAAGAGGGATTTTTTAGGAGATTTTTCGAAGGACTCCTAGAGCTATATGAGGGGATTTTTTTAAGGATATTTTTTAAAGGATTCCTAGAGTTATAAGAGGGAATTTTTAGGAGATTTTCTGAAGGACTCCGAAATGGGATTTTTTTTAAGATTTTTCGAACGACTTCTAGAGGTATAAGATGCGATTTTTAGGAGATTTTCCAAAGGACTCCTGGAGCAATAAAACGGGATTCTATCAGAAGATTTTCTGAAGAACTCCCAGAGCTGTAAGAGTGCGATTTTTATAGGAGATTTTCCAAAAGGACTTTTAGAGTTATAAGAGGCGATTTTTTAAAAGATTTTCCTAAGGACTCATAGAGCTATAAGAGAGGATATTTATAGGAGATTTTCCAAAGGACTACTAGAGCTATAAGAGGGGTTCTAGGGATATAACAGTGGATTTTTATGAGATTTTCCGAAAGACTCCTAGAGCTATAGGAGAGGATTTTTTAGGAGATTTTTCAAAGGACTTCTAGAGGTATAAGATAGGATTTTTAAGAGATTTTACGAAGGACTCCTGGAGCAATAAGAGGGGATTTTTTATGAGATTTTCCGAAGGACTCCTAGAGCTATAAGATGGGATTTTTCTAGGAGATTTTCCGATGAACTTTAAGAGGGGATTTTTTTAGGAGATTTTCCAAAGAACTCTTAGAGATATAAAAGGTGACTTTTTAGACGATTTTTCTAGAGCTATAGTAGGGGATTTTTTATGAGATTTTCCGAAGGACTCGTATAGATATAATAGGGGATTCTTTTGAGGATTTTCCGAAGGACTCCTAGAGCTATAAAATGTGATTTTTAAGGGGATTTTTCGAAGGACCCCTACAGCTATAAGAGAGGATTTTTTAGGAGATTTCCCAAGGGACTCCTAGAGCTTTAAGTGGGAATTTTTCGAGGAGAGTTTCCAAAGAAATCACAGAGCTATAAGAGGAAATGTTTTAAAGAGATTTTCCGAAGGACTCCTCGAACTATAAGAAGGGATTTTTTCAGGAGATTTTTCATGTGATTTTCCGAAGGACTCCTAGAGCTTTAAGAAGGGATTTTTTAGGAGATTTTCAACCGAAGGAGCACATTTTCAGTTGACCTCTTTGGCAAGTAAACACGATCATTTTCTTTGTTTACAAACTGCTGGACAACGAAGGTTTTCTCATCGGAGAAAATCAAATTCGGCAGTTCAAAACTTTCGGTCAAACGATGTAACTCTTTAGCTCTTTTGAGTCTTTTGTTGCGGTGTAAGTTCTTGCACTTTTTGGAATTTCAATGGCTTTACCCCGAGCTCATTTTCAATAGTTACCGAATGCAATATTGCTGTTTTCTTCCGTCCACTTTCTTGACGTCGGGCTACGCAGCCAGTATCACGGTAACGATATCGATATCCACTTGTGGTTTTCCAGCCAAATATAAAGAAATCACACTATCACGCTTGAATTCCATCATTAATAACATTTTTTCTGGAAAATTCTCACCAAAATGCTTTTGTACGCTTGTAAACAATATAATAAACTGTCACTGGAATAATTTTAACAGCTATCGGACGAGTGACTTAGAAATTACAGCAGTGTGAAGTTGGTTGCATTTTTTTTCATCTCACCCTGTATACCCTTTAGATAAAGACTTGGTTCAATATAAAAGCAAAGAAATACAGAATTCTATTAGATAAATCCTGTAATAAATAAATCTCATTTAGACCCAGGTGCTTTCCGGACGCCTGCAAATTCTCACTCTCAAAGATTATTAATCAGTTATTCTGCTAAATTTTTTCTAAGGACGCCATCACAAACATTCGATTTACATATTTTTTTAATGTTTTTTTTATTACTTAGATCAATTAGCCGAAATTCGCAAGGCTAGTATGGCTCGTCTAGTATGTGACAATGGCAATAACATTCAATCGATGCAACAGAAGGCTTTCCTATTGGTTTCACCAAGGTAAGTTTTACCAAAAAGAGACTTTTTCAGAAACTTCCGAGCATAACATATTGTTTCACTTTAATTACAGCAATCCTGTTGTGCCATGCTCAAATATACCCCAAGTTGATTTGACCAAATGGATTGACAAGAAACCACACTATGGCAAATAATAATAATTAAAAACAAACTTTACTGACAAATTTGTATTTATTTTATATTTTTCTTACTTATAAAGGGTGATTTTGCCTTCTATCTGAAAAAAATTATTAAAACTATATATTTTTTATACACAAATTCTTTATCTAAATAATGTTTCGAAGTATTTGGAAAAAAAAAAAACCAAAATCATACCGATACTGTATTTCTTGTTCCATTCTACATAGCTGCAATTGTAAATATTAATTTAAATACACTTTATATTAATTGTACAAAATATCAATAGATTTCTTCGTTAAATGAATTAAATAAATATACTTTTTTATAATCATAAAATATGTTTTTAATTGAAATACTGTTAAAAGGTTCAGTGCATTAAAGTTCAATATACCATTAACGAGTAAAAAACCCTGTAAGTTCGGCCGGGCCGATCTTTGAATATCCTCTATCATTTGAAACGAATTTGATAATTTTCAAAAAATAAAATCCGTTAAAAATTCTGTTTAAATCCTAAAAAAATACCGATTGTAGCCTTTATACTGGGTTCTATACGACGACGTGGACCTGTATAGGCAACTTTTGTCGTAAGCCATTAGAATATTCAAACGCGAAACTTGAAAAAAATCGGTGAATAACGTAGCCAAAATCATCAAAATACCGAATATCGGAGGTACCGTTATATGGGGGCTAAACGAAGATTTTCTGACAATTTTCTGTCATAGGCTGTAGTATCCATTACGAACTTCAAATACCAAATTTGAAATAATTCCGGTGAATAATGTCGCTAAATTAATCAAAGTACCGAATATCGGGAGGTACCGTTATATGGGGGCTATACGAAGACGTGGACCTGCACATACAATTTTATGTCATAGGCTGTAGTACTACGAACATCAAATACCAAATTTCAAACAATTCCGGTGAATAATGTCGCTAAAATCATCAAAATATATATGGGGCTATACCAAAACGTGTACCTACATGACCCCATTGTACAACAAGGAGGTAGAACAGCTTCGTAAAAGTGCAGAAATACACCCCTGAGGCAATGACCGCTTTCTGTCAGAATTATTCAAAATTAGATTCAAAAGGTTGTTCCAATTTATTTAATATTTTTCCTTATTTTGAATATTGATTAAAAAGCGCGAATGATGAAAGACAAGGCCAGATTTTCTTTCAAAAATATTATCCAACTTGATCCATCTTTCAATTCCATGAAAAAAATGGTTATTACCTTTAATGTGCAACCTGCAATCTTCAATTCTTCCAATCATTGATTTTTAAAATATTTTGTTTTTGTTTTTCAAAAAATAAATACATACACAAAATTGGCAGAAGTGGGGCACACTTAGAAAAAATTTGTAATCAGGTGGTAGCTCTACCTTACCTTTTTATTGTACCATGCATGACCCATTTTCAATACCAAAAGTCCTGCAGACATAATACACGTTTGAGTAAAATTTTATCAACCTACTTCATTTCGATCGGAAGCTAGAGTGATTTCCACAGACGGACAGACAACGGACATCCCTAAATCGACATAGACATTTTGTTAGTTCTTTTAGTAAGAGTTTACATTTTCTTGTATATTTGACAACATCTCAAAAGGAAATAAATCCACCATTTAGTATTTTTACCTTATAGCTTTTTGAAGAATAACCTCATTTATGAGGCATATGTGACATATGTATATGCAATGGATTTGGCAATTTATATCCACTGAGTTAACTTAATCCGATAAATTGTAAATATACCATTACTCTCTGAGAGTTGCTGAACAATTCTTCCATGAAAAAAAAAATACACACAGACCTAATGTACTGATCAATTTTATTTTTTGTGTGAAACTTTTACTTCAAAGAAACAAGGAAAAATGCAACTGTATACTGGAGCCTTACCATGCCAAATAGACAATTGGTTTTGTTTATTTTTCATTTTTTTCACAAAATTAATAAATTGGGGAAACCCACAAAACATGAATGGAAGCATGGCTCAATAAGAAAGGTTGGTCAACTTCAGAGGAACTAGAAAAACGCAACTCTGTGCTGGAGACTTATAGTGTCAAATAGGCTTTAAAATATGCAACAGTTGGGTTTGTTTATTTTTAATTTTTTTTTCAAACAAATTTCTTATATTGGGAAAAACCCGCGAACAAAAATGAAATTTCGGGGTTATTCCACAAGGTTAAATATAAAATAGTAGGAAAATACAGTTCTATAACAAAATTGTGCAATTTGTTACCCGTTTACGTCGAAAATTTGCACTTATTTTGTAACCAAATTTGAAATAATTTCAAATTATTGTATTATTTATTCAAATCAACACACACACGTGCACAAAATGTATATATGTTTTGACAGAATAAGGGCACCAAAGAAAAAAATAATTAGGGTGTAGCTTTGTTATACCTTCTGTAATTATGCCATGCACACACATATTTACAAAATGTGTAGATGTTTTGACAGAATAGGGGCACCAAAAAACAAAATTTTGGGAAAAATATCATATTTGAGTCTTAATACTGTGCGTGATTTTTCATTCATGTTTCGCGATTTCCTCTTGCATTTGTGTTAATAAATTTGAAGTTGCAACACTCTTAGTCTAGAGATTGCTTTTTCAAACATATAATCGTACAATTTTAACGTTTTAGTTCTTAAGCCCGCAACATTTTTTGTTCAGTAACATCCCACGCATTGCTCTCATTTAAGGGATTGTTTTTTTTTTTTTTTTTTTTTTTTGGGTAAAAACAGCACCTATTAATATTTTGTAACAATTGTTAAAAAATATCGAGGAAAGAAACATACGTGGATGGTAGATAATACAGATAGATGCATCAACGATCGGGAACATTGATATGCTTTCAATTTAAGAGTTTTGCTCAAAAGAAGTTTTTTATACGTTTTCTTGAAATTCGGAGGTTGTTATAATATTTATTGTTCAACAACTTTAACCAATTTTTAACCAAAAAAGTTTTTCATTCAATTCCAAATTTGGTTGGACAATTCATACTACCAGCAGTTGTGTCGATGCGACTACTTGTATTATTATATCATGAATATATGTCGATGATGATATTAATTATTCTATGAAAAATAATTAATTGATGAAAAATAATCAAGATTTGTTTTTGTTTTGTTTTTATAGAAACAAGTTTTATTTCCTTTCTATTTTTTTATTTTTGACATTTCCTTTATTTTAAAAGTTTTTATTTCATTTTTTCATGGAACAATTCTTACTGAGAAAATTTTTCAAGCATTCAATTCAGAAACTCTTTTTAATTCAACTGTAAATTGCTCAATTTACTTGTTTTCACTAACTCAACTGACACACCTAATAAATCATGTGTGGATTCTGTTTCTTGTACTCCAAGTTAGATACTAAACAGCTGTATCTACTTCTTACAGTTCCTTCTAATGAATGCCTTCATTGAACTATGTCGACTATAAACATCTGATTGGACATGTTGATGTCAGTTTGTGTGTGTGTGAATGTACTGCGTTTGTTTTTGCAAAAAAGCGGCAGTGCATATCGGGATATTTGCAAAATAACTTTAGTTGAATAAAAGAAAACGTTCTGCATTTGGGTAAAATTCGAATTTTCAATCGGAAGAGAATCGAAAAAAGAACATAATGTCGTCGGGCGTAAAATGTCGTAACTGTGGTTCCACCGATATCGAAGAAGATAATGCACGTGGCGATCGAGGTAATGCTAATGAGTTCCTACATATTTTACATAGCTTATTGTATTTGTTTATATTTCCATTGCAGTTTGTACGAATTGCGGTTCGGTTCTTGAGGATTCTTTGATTGTATCGGAAATACAATTCGAAGAGGTAGGCCATGGTTCGTCGGCAATCGGTCAATTTGTTTCGGCTGAATCTTCAGGTGGTGCCACTAACTATGGCTATGGTAAATTTCAAGTTGGTAGTGGCACCGAATCGCGTGAAGTGACACTGAAAAAGGCCAAACGTGAAATAACACATTTGTGCCAGCAGTTACAGTTGACACAGCATTACATCGATACGGCTTTGAATTTCTTTAAAATGGCCCTAATGCGCCACCTAACCCGTGGTCGTAAGAGTACACATATTTATGCTGCTTGCGTCTACATAACTTGTCGTACGGAAGGAACATCACGTAAGTAACTACCTGGGTATATCCTAATAATAACTAAATTAAATAGTTTCTGTATGCTGGATCTCTTCGATTAATTTCTGAGCTTTATTTGGTGTGAATATAAAATTTATTATTCATTTACATTTACAAAGTTGCTTCATTTTTTTGTTGAGTTTTTGAAGATAGCGTAAATTTTTCGCGTTCACCGAAAATCATTAACAATTTCCAAAAATTTTACTTTAAAAACTGAAAACTACACGTTATTAAAAAAATATATAATAGTCGTGGGCTACATCAAATGAAAATCTAATTTTGAAAAACGAAATTTGCATATGTTCATTAATAAAGTTCGTATAGATCGTATATACTTTTATTGTTGTCAGTAGAAGGACTTTATACATCGCTGTTATCAGGAGAATAAAACTAAACTCCCGTTAAAATTTTAAAACACTTCCAGCTGAGGACCTAAGTTCTTTGTAAATGCTAATAACATTAGAAATCGCTATTATTTTTTAAGGCGAGTCAATAATGCAATGTTTGAGAGATAGCTCAGCAATAACTGATCGAATCGGGTCCTATAGAAGCGACAAATATATTAAAAAAATAAATTTTTATTTATTTCAGATTTACTAATAGACATAAGTGATGTGCAGCAAATATGTTCCTACGAACTCGGCCGAACCTATTTAAAACTTTCAAATGCTTTGTGCATAAATATTCCATCTGTGGGTGAGTGAATTTATATTTTTATTTATTTATATTTATATATTTCAAAAATTTGTTTTATATTTTTTAACTATTTAATTACTCTAATGTAATTGTGAAATTATTAGATCTGCTGTAAATATAAGATATATCTCATATATGTCTCATAAAAAAACTTATCGAACATTGATAAAGTCCAAATTTGGAAGCAAATGGAAAACATTCGGCTAACTCCTTCTCTTATTTCCCCCAATTACGCGTTTAGACACAAATAGCAGAACCGTTTTATCTCTTGCGGTTATTAATGGCAAAATTTCATGGAATTTTGTGTAAAGCTCTTAGCTACAATGTTCACTAGATAGCAAAAATTCTCATATAAGGGCTTTGAAATTATGGAATCCAATCTGAACTTAATGTATGGGGCATTTCCGCGTAGTAAAATATTGAATATCGATTTTGCGACATGATTTAATGATTTTTAAAGTCTGAAGACACATTTTCAAAACAAACAGGCCTGAAAATTTATGCAAGTTTTCAAACAAAACTTTATTATTAGCGCACCAGCGTACTAAATTATCAGCGCACCAGTTCGATATCACTTTATTCATATTAAAGTTTTTACTTTATTGAAAATGTTAATCGAAAAATAATTACTTTTTGCACAAAAAAAGCCTTTAAAATCTTTTGTTTTGAAATTTACCCAAGAACATATTAGTTGTACCCTTGCACAATGGATCCACATCCATTTTTTTCTGTTCAAAACTATTTCATGGTCTTTTCATAATAAAAATTGGCCTCCACCATATCTAAATCCAAGAAATCAACATTGTCCTCAATATCAAATTTCATAATTCAAGCTCTATTCATTAATTCAACGGCACTCAAATTTAGTACAATTTAGTTTCGAGCCATCGTAGCACGCATACCCAAATCCATCTCCTTTTCTCAAAACTATATAGCAACAGTGGCCTCCATATCAAATTTCCGAATTCCAGCTCTATCCTAAGACCCAAACCTAAATGTATTACCGTACTTTTCGTACAGGTATACCACTAAAACCACTTCCTTCTCTCCAACCCAGACACCAACAGTGACCTCGATACCAATTTTAAGAATTCTATCTGTATTTGTGATATTTTGCACTTCTCGTACGTTCATAGTGCGAATTTCCAAAACCACCACTTCATCTCAACTAGAGACCTCAACAGTGACATCCATATCAAATTACAGGATTTCAGCCAAATTTCAGAATTTCTTCACCCAATAGCAAAACCTCCTACAGATTTCAATTCCAGATACCAACAGAGGCCCCAATATTAAATTGAATATTCCAGGCCTATCCCCTCACCCAATACCAACATTTAATACCATTTAGTATTTTTCGTACAAATATAATGGGTCGCATTTCCGAGCCACTGCCAAATATGAAACACTGATACCATTGTTAATCTCAATACCATATCTAAAACCACTTCCATATCTTAATTCCAGATGCTAAAGAGACCTCTATATCGAAGTTAAGGATTCCAGCCCTATCCCCTCATCTAATACCAAATATAGTACCATTTAGTTCTTTTCATATAATTACCGTGCACCACCTCCTTATGTCCAGGCTACAAATTAAATCCGTGTTAGTCCTTATTAGTACTTTAAATGCATACTTGTTTCTTCTTGATAAAATTTTCTAATCATAACTTCATATATCGTACTAAATTTCCACAACTTCAAGGTTTTCTATATTATTCAAGTTTTTCCTTTTTGGAATGAATAATAGGAATTTCCCCCGTTGCCAAATTTACTACTATTTAGTACAAATATATATATCCAAAACCATCTCCGTATCTCAACACCCGATACCAAGAGAGCCACCTCACTATCAAATTTCGGGATTCCAAATATAGAACCATTTAGTACTTCTCGTACAAATTTAGTGCACAGTTTCAAAACAATTTCCATATCTCCATTCCAGACACCTACACAGACCTCAATATCAAAGTTGAGGATACAAAATTTGGTATTTTGCGTACGAATATATTTCATATATATTTCAATTCAAATTTCATAATTTCTGCTCTATTCCCTCACCCAATACCAAATTTAGTTATTTTCGTAAAATTATAGCACACATTATCAATTATAACAACTAGCATATCTTAATCCAGATACCAACACAGACTTCAATATCACATTTCGCGTTTCCACCATTTAGTATCTTTCGTACAAATTTAAGACGAATTTCCAAGCCGCCGCCAAATCTTAAACACAAATACCATCAGTAATCTAAATATCAAATCTCTGAATTTTATCTCTATCCCTTCACCAATACCAAATGTAGCGCCATTCACTACTTTTCTTACAATTAATGTACACATTTCCGCAATCACTTCCATGTGTCCAGGCTATTCAGGAACAGCGATCCTAATGCTCGATTTCAGATTTCAAGCACTACCTGTTCGGCCAAATTGTACCAAACGTAGTATTATTTAGTACATTTTAAAACCACCTCTTTATTACGAAGATACTACCAACAGGAGCCCCAATACAAATTTCCAAGTTTCAGCTTCTACCATTTAATGCTATTCGCTCACTTAGTTCACATTTCCAAGCCACCTTCATATATTAAACTTAGTTTCCAACCTTAGAAGAAGTTTTGTAATATTTTAGAACATTTCCTAAATGTTAAGTTCGAATTTGCAATAACGCTTTGGTTTATCTATTCCACACTTCATCACTGTCTCTCATTCCAAATTTTAGAATTCCAGCTCCACCGATGCATCACAATTCCAATTTGTACCAAATTTAGTACCATTTAGTACACATATAAGTACGAATTTCCGAAGCTTCCCCCCAATCCTCCCACGATAATCCCAATTCCAAATTTTAGGATTTCGCCCATGTATTTTTTAGTACATATAAGTACACATTTCCAAAACTACCCTTATCTTACACTCCCACATTAATCTTATTTCCAATTTTCATACAGTCCAATAGAAATCTTATTTTTAAATTTCAAGATTTCAACTCTACCGGTTCACACAACATTTAAATTGTATTAAATTTAGTACCATTTAGAACACATAAGTACGACTTTAGTACTTTTCGCCCACATAAGCACAAATGTCGAAAACTACTTTCCTTTCGTAATGTTAATTTCAAATTTCAGTATTCCAGCTCCATCCATTCCTCTAAATTCAAATTGTACTTAATTTAGTACTGTTTAGTACTATTCGTATACATGAAAACACACATTTAAAACAGATTCCAAATTTCAGGTTTTTAGCTCTAACAGTTCACATGATACGAAATTGTACCAGATGTAGTACATTTTATTATTTTTCGTGCACATATCCTGCGAATTTCCAAAAATCATTTAGTACATCTTTCATGCACTTCATCTGTGACCTCATTCTAAATTAAAGAGTTTTAGTTCACCTGCTTCCTCAAATCAAATTCATATTTAATAATTTTTAATACTTTTGTAACGTTCTAATACGGATTTCAAAAAAAAAAAAAAAAACAGCCTTATCTGACCCCTTCGGACCAAGAGTAACCCTCACCCAAAAATTCAAGATTCTAGCTTCAGACGTTTCGTCGGGGCGTTTATGAATCGTTAAGTCAGTCAATCACTTTTCTTTTTTATTACCCCTCAAACTAGGGGTTCTCCCTTGCCATTCGAATGAGCAGTTCAATTTACTTACAATTTTTTTAAACCAATGAAACAGGCATCAACTTTTTAAAAATTTCTAAAAATTATTTTTTTATTTATTTAATGCTTTTTCAATAGGAGATTATAATAATTAAATTCATTTTCTGTATGTGGGGAGACATACCTAAAAAAATGTTGGAAACATTTTGTATACATAGTTCAGTACAAGACGCTGCGGAGTGATTTAATAAACATAATTAAAGGCACAAAAAGAAAGCATAGAAAACAAAAAGTAGATCAATTAAAGTTGTAAAACAAAATATTCGGCTTCATATAAATAGGAATATAATAAGAATAGCATATATAATGTAGATGTAAAGGATATCAAGAAAAAAACAAAACGTTTGCGAGGATAATTCTAGGAAGGAATAAAGCAAAAGCCATATGTATGTGTATAAATGCAATAATATTTGGAATTGAAACTACAAAAAAAAAAAAACGTTATAAAATGCTATGTGTATTCAAGGATTACCTATGGAATTGTTACAATAATCCTGGGAATAATGGGCTAATTATGTTGTAATTGTGTTTTGTTTTTTTTTTTTTTCATAATAATCATATCATTTTAATGAAGTACCATTCGTTTGTTTGTCATACTTTTTTCTTTTTTTTTCGTATTTTTGGCATAAATATTTCTTTCTTTTCCTTTTTTTTGTAAAGATGTTTTCAATAAAATTGGGTTTGGTTTTTTGTCTTTTCTTTTTAACTTCTTTAGTTTTGTTAACTGGTCAAATATTATATTCAAGGATAATCTACATTTTTATTAACGTAATATAATAACTTGTTTTTTTTTTTAATGAAAAATGACTTTTTTATAATAATAAATTTAAATATATGTATATATTTATATTATTTTGTATATATGCATGTAGCAATGTTTTGTATATATATAGATATATATGTATGTATATATTTAAGAAGTTATATTTTTTGTATTTTTGTTTATCTTTTCCTAATAATTTTAAAGATCCCAGTGTTTAGAGTTTTCCAATATATTTATTTTTTATGTATATCTTTTTTTTCTTATTAATTCTTTGTAATTGATTGCCTTTAGTGTGTATGTGTGCTGTATATAATCTACACCACAAACTTAATATTTTTGGAACTTTTATATATGAATATGTTTTAAGTTAATGGTATGGGAATATGAGCCAAAAACACCATCGCTAAATTGACCAATCGAATAACAACGACGGATTATTTAAAGCTGGTAATTTTATCAGTTCAAGTTGTTAGTTTTGTTTATATCTGTGTGTGCCATTTCGTTATCTTCATTCCTGTGGTATTACCTTTGATAAAAATACAAAGAATTTTATTTCATGGGATATTTTTAAGAATGCCAAGAGTTTATTATCCACAATATGTAAATAAAGGAGGTTTTGTTTGTTTTTATGGGTGCGATGATCTGAAGCACTGTGGAACAAATTCAAATAATTCCCAATCAATACAAATGCATACATCTCCAAGCTTTGGTAGACCAAAAGGTATACTACCTTTTTTTAAGACATTTTACATCGGGCTCATTCATTTGAAATTCTACTTTCGATATTCTTAGTTTTGTTATACAAGATGTCGATATTTAGTAGAATTGCATTGAGGGAAAATAATCAATTTTGACAGTAGTGAAAACTATGTTAAGATAGGGTGGGTGTTTGATTTTTAAATGTGCTGATCACTCGATAATATAAGTCCCATATATGTAGAATTTCCCATTCGAAATTCGTATAATTACGATTTCATTCCCATTTGGAATTCGTATAATTACGATTTCACAAAAATAATCTAGCTCTTGCTGGGAAAATTAGTATGACTACTCTTTGTCTACCACAGTACTCTTCTAGCTGAGTCATATAATAAAAAAAAAAAAACATTCTTATGCCATTCTTATCAGCCGTTTTTTATAAATTTCTTCAGAAGGTAATACGATTCGAATTTTTGAGGAATTAATTGAAGGTTTTTGACTCTTGGCGTGCTAGTCGTTGTTATCAGCTGCACGGAATCCCCTCTATGTGTAAAATTCAAATCAAAACAGAGAATTAAATAAATTAAAAATATTTGTGTTTTAATGGTGGTGTAGGCTTTTTAAACGCAACAATCGACATTGGCCGACTTTTAGCTCTTTGTTTCAATATTTTTTATTCTTTAAAATAGTTTATTGCAAATGTATTACTGTTGTATATAAAATTATGTTTGTCTTTTTTCGAGTCTTGACAATATGAGTGATGACGATGTGAACTAATGCAATGAAGTAGTGTTGTAATGGTGTATTTGTTATTCTGAATATTGCTTTAATTTTTTCGTATTAATGTTTGTTTTATAGTAGTTATGGATGTTTAACAGACTTTAATGTTCCCTTCATGTTTCCATTTCTGGTGCTGAAATCTTGTTTTCTATTTTTTCTATGTGTATGTATGCCTCTTACTACATATCCTGCATTCGGATTACTTTTGTTGTTGGTTTTTGTTTTTTAGAATATAGTTGTTTTATTTCAAATGTTATTATTATCCAAAAGTAAGAGATATATGTTTATATATAAACTAAATCGGTATATGACTAACATGATTTTGTTATATAATTTATAACTATATAATTATGCTTCTAATGAGAGATAAAGAGAATGAGTAAAGGGGATGAAAGAGATAGAAAAAAACCATTGTTTCAATGTTTGTTATTTTTTTGTTTGTTTGTTTGTTTGTTCATATATATGTGTATAAATGTAATAGTTGCTTTTGTGTCTTTTCTTCAAAATCTTGTTCATCTACTTGAATATACTCCTAATTTGATGAAGTACCACCTCCATCTGTACTAGAACATGCTCCTAACAATTCATCACAATTTGCTGATAGTTCACTAGAATTACGATTACTGCGACTTTGATGACTGCCATTGCTGGTGGCGGTATTATTAGCGGTGCCCGAAGTTGCCAATAGGCCGCCGATTCCGCAAGCAGCCTCCAATTCACCAATTGGACTGGCACACATCGATTGCATTGGTGAGGGTACCGCCGTTGGTCCGTAAAATATTAATTCCGGTATTTGACCACCTTGTACACCGGTACCATTGGTACTCTCCGACGACGATTGAAATTGGAACGTTACATTGCCCATGCACACTTCCGACATACCCTCCTGACCGAAAAACGATAACTCAATGCCGTCTAATATAACCGAAGCTGTATAATAACATTCAGGTTCAATTTGTATAGGATTTTCAAAGAAAACATGGAAGGTATTTGAGGAACCATCGGAAAAGAATTTTGTATCATTTTCGGCGAGTGTACGACCCAAGCGTTTCAGTTCAATCTTAACATTATATGTTGCAGCACCAGTCGAAGATCCATATAAACCGAAACCAACAATGAAGATTCTGTAAAAAAAAATATAAAAAAAATTAGAAATAATTTTGTTTAATATTTTTGTAGTTGCCTTAGAAATTTCAAAAGTTTACGGAAGTTTCCTTTTTAGTGAACTAAATAAGTATATCTAAAGAAAATCAATACTATCTTAATGATTTTATTCTGAAGGCGACTCATCGCTGTTTACTTAGAAGCCCTAATGTTACTACATAATGGACGGAATATACTCTATCTTAGACATTGACAAAAAATCACTCAAAAAATCTTTTTGTTGTTTAGTCCTAGACATCTTTCTTGTTAGTGCAAATAGTCACATTTGGTTGTATAAAGACTGCATATAAAGACGTATGCCCCAAAAATAGTCTATTTGGGTTGTTAATAAAGAATATTCTCTACAAGTCTTTAAAACTTGACGATTTAGTGGAGCAAACTCATTCTCGCTTATTAAATCTGTTTTTTGTTAACATACTATACTCTCTTTTCTCTTCACCTGATTTGTGGTCATCAAGAATGTCAATTCTTCTATTTAATTTTAAAACTAGATCTCATTTCTCTCATTTCTACTTAATAAACCTTGGTATATATTAGTTGTCAGTGCTCACCTTCGATCCACCGAAAATTGTATACTATCACAACGACCACGATAACGCCATTGATTCGATCGATATGCACACGATTGAAAACGATGACAAACCTGTGTCTTTAAACCGGCCCGGGACTTGGTTGGAAAGTTCAATGAAGGTTTTACCTTGGCCGTAAAGTGTAGAAACATATCAATCGTTTCCTGTGAAGTTAAAATGCCCGTCTGTGCAACGCCATTGGCAAATTCATCCAATGACATGGTGGGAATGCGGATTAAATGCAACGCTTGACCCAAAACCTTTCGCATATTTTGTGGCGTCGGTTCAATTGACATTTTCTGGCAACAATTCTGAGCCCAATTCAAACCGGCCTCAAAGAGATGTATCTCCTTGCAGTTGAGTGTTTCGCGCCATAAAATCGATTCGAAAGTCTTGAGATCAATATCAACAAAATCCTCAGATTTTATGGCCATCTCGGCCTGAGCATCGATTACTTCCCAGCAACGTTGCATCAGTTCGGGCTCTTCGAAAAGACGTGATTGACTGAGAAGTAGACAGGCGTTTTTTGCCGTTAGCTTAACTTCTAAATAGTTGACACAGGCTCTAGCCAAATGTGGTACAATATATTTTTTGGCTGCATATAGTGTGGCTAATATATTATCAGGTTCCAATTGTATTTCATCGCAATATAAATATCTGGAAAATAGAGAGAAGTAAATTATAGGTTTTTGTGAAATGAATTGAGAAATCACATCCCTACCTTAACAAGGTAAGAAAGGCCGATGGTTCCACATCAGGCACTTTAATTTCATTTTTATTTTCAGCCAAACCTCCATAAAACATTGCATAAAATACTGAACTACCAGTGGCCAAAATATATTTGTGAGCTGGTATAGTTTGAACGGCATCTGAAAAAAAAGAAGAAAATCATTTTCGAATATTATAATTTCCAGTACTTGCACTTTCACTTTTAATTAACAACTTACCGAAATCTCCTCCCACCACAAATCGCACATCGGACATTAATTCATTGTTAAACATGGCTGCATTACGTTCCAGCACGGTGGCCTTTGTTGCTTGCCAATTGGGATCGGCTGTATCATTGGAATTGGAGGCTCCCAAATTTGCATAGGATAAACTGCTTGAGCTAACGCCATTTGGACACACGTAAGAGCCACTGCCATTTGTGGCGGCACCCATTGCTGATCCCGTGGAACTTGATGGCAGACAAAATGACGAGGGACTAATGGCACCCGGCGAGGCCAAGGGTGATGAGGGCGCACTTATCGGTTGTGTTATTTGTATATTATTTTCCCCAGATGATGCTGATGATGAGGCAGAAGCAGCCGCTGAGCCACTACTGCTGCTAACATTTCGTTCATTTCCGCCAGCTGTGGCCACGCCAGCAGCAGCGGCAGCCGATGATAGTCCACCACCGCCGCCGCTACTACCACGTGTTGATTGTTGTTGGTGTTGCTGTTGTTGTTGATGCTGCTGTTGTTGTTGCTGCTGTTGTTGTTGTTGCTGCTGCTGATGGCCTGAATTATTATGTGGTGGGGAGAGCAGCATACCATTGCCATTATTTAAAGTTTCCACTATTTATGATGGACACATCAACATGAGTATAATGTGATATATTGAAGATGATGACGATTATGATGATACGATATGAGGGGGGAACGAACACAAAAAGAGAGAGAAAGAAAAATAAGAAAATTTGTTTAATGGTTTGTCCGAGAGCTTTAGGTCCATAATTTATGCTTTGTTTATATAAAAGTTTGTGCGTGTGGACACAACGTATTTGTGTGTGAGCTTGTGTATTTGTTTAGTATAAATACTAATAGAATGCAGTTTGTGTCGTTGTTGGCTATTTAGTCCGCCGCTGACTGACAGACTGACACAAGTCTGTCTAGTTTTTCACTTCAATGTTTAACATGACCTTCAATTACAATCATTATCATATTTATTTATATATAAAAATACATACATAGTGGTCTAGTTTATACCGCTATCTATCACACATATATATTTAACTAGCTGAACCCGGTGCGCTTCGCTACCCCTTTTGATTTTATATGCATTCAAAATTTTATTTACGAATATATGTTGGATAAAGAAAAACAAATTTAAAAATTAAAAAAAATATTGCACTAATTTAATGCGTTAATAAACAAAATCATTACAAAAGCAGTAACATGACATGCATACACGAAGGGTTTGTCCTTTGGATTTATTTATTTCATAGCAAATACCAAGCGTGCAGGAAACTGCAATTTTTTTAAGTAGAGTGGCATTTCTATTGCAATTAGTGAATTCGAGATAGCAACATACTTCGCCGTAATAAGCGTATTTCAAATAAATTGTTGTGTTGTTTTTTAGTGTTAGCCTAAGGCGTTGTGGGTCAATAGTTCTTATTAAAATCATATCCCAATCTGATCCGATTTAAATATAATTTAAAAAAAATTACTTTTACACCAAACTCCGCTACACCTTTCATATTTAATTGAAATTGGTGCGTCAAATATGTGAAATCGGCCGAGAATATATATATGGGAGCTATATCCAAATCTTAACTAATTTCCAATTAATTTATCACATTTATTATTATAACAAAATTCCGCCACACATTCTGAATTTCATTGGAATCTGTCATATATATCGTGTTTGGTGCATAATATGTATGAAATCGGCCGAAATATATATGTTAGCTATATCCAAACCTCAACTGATTTCAATATAATTGTGCAATTTTTGCTGGTGCCAGATTTTGTCTCTCTCGCTTTGGGTGCATCAAATATGTGAAATCGGCTGAGTATATATATGGAGCTATAATCACATCTGAGCGTATTTGAATATAATTTGTCAAATGAGCATCAAATATGTGAAATCGGCGGATAATATATATGGGAGCTATATCCAAATCTGAACCGATTTTAATATAATTTGACTAAATTATTTTCTAATCAAAATCCCGTTACATATTCCAAAATTCTTGGAAATCGAACATACATATCGTGTATGGTGCATAAAATACTAGAAATCGGTCGAAAATATATATGAGAGCTATATACAAATCTGAACCGATTTTAATATAATTTGACAAATGTATATTTGTTTTAATTTCCGCTACACATTTCAAATTTCATTGAAATTAGAGATACATAGCGTGTTTGGTGCATCAAATACATGAAATCGGTCGAAAATATATATGGGAGCTATATCCAAATCTGAACCGATTTCAATATAATTTGAAAAATTCATTTTTGCTCCCGATTCCGTTACTTATTTTAAATTTCATTAAATTTGGACATACATATCTTGTTTGGTCCACCAATCACATGAAATCGGCCGAAAATGTATATGGGAGCTATATCCAAATCTGAACCGATTTCAATATAATTTGGGAAATAAATTTTTTTAGATAAAATCTATCACACGTTTCAAATTTCATTGAAATTGGGGATACATAGCGTGTTTGGTGCATCAAATGCTTGAAATCGGCCGAAAATATATATGGGAGCTATATCCAAATCTGAACCGATTTCAATATAATTTGACAAATTTATTTTCGGATCAAATCCCGTCACATATTCCAAATTTCATTGGAATCGAACATTCATATTGTGTTTGAGGCATCAAATGAACGAAATCGGTCGAAAATATATATGGGAGCTATATCCAAATCTGAACCGATTACAATATAATTTAGCAAACTTATTTTTGTTCCAAATTCCGTTACACATTCCAAATTTGGAGACTGTATCTTTAACCGATCAATAGATATGTGCATATAAAATCTAAATTTTTGGGAGGTACCTCCGATTCTGATGCTATATCTCCAGTTCCAAGTGGAAATTCAAAAATTTATATAGCCTATGTTACTTTCAGGCGATGTTGCAGTATATATGGAAATTTTCAGAAAAATCTATTCAGCAGTTTTCGAGTCCATAAATTACAAACAAACAAACAAACAAACAAACAAACGTACAAACATTTTCCTCTTTTATAGATATAAGAAGATAGAAGAAGAAGATATATGTATGTAGGTACATTTCCATCATAAGTGTGTCAGTCTGTATTTATTTGATTATTGCAAATTTGCTACATTGAGCAGGAAAGGTCTAGGGTGAGATGTTGCATTCAATTGTGGAGGCCGCCATCGGATGCTTAGGTTCTTTAAAATAGCGCAATTCACTTGCAATATGTATGGAGTTTATCATTACTTTTGTAACTCATAGAAAAAATTTAAGAAAGCAAAGTATATATATTCCTAATAAGTAATGTTAATGTGTTGGAAAATTTGGTATATTGCATATATCACGGTACGGTAACGGTACCTCCTGATTTTTGGGATTTTGATTAGCCACATTTTCAAGGGAATAGGTATTATAATAATGGAGCAGAAACGTTTCTATGCAGTCGTTTTGTTATAGTCCTCTTGGTGGAGCGAATTAAACTTGTTTTCTTATGACAATCCTAAATTATTGACGGTTCACCTCGTTTGAAAAAGACTCATTTCAGACCGTCTAGAAAGGCTCCATTCAGATCATATATAGATTACCTTCTTTATATATGAAATAAAGACTTCATTGACATGCTTCGTCTTTTATTATAGAATCCCTTCCTACCAGCAATAAATGTTCCCTTCAGCTTTTCTCATAAGCATTCAAGTCGCGTCTATAAATACCTTGTATAGTTTCAACTCAGCTTTTTCACTTCATCATTTAAATATTCCTTTGGCTTTCTACTTAGTGTTTGAAGGCTTCATTTCTGATTGACGAAAATGACTTCATTCAGGCAATTTATGAATACTCTCCTCAGCCCGTCTTAAAACATATCCTTTGGTTCGTCCCAATAGGCTCATATAGATACTACCTTCTTTTCTTATTTGTAAATACTACATTAAAATCCTTCATATTTTATTAGAGACTCCCTTCTTGCCAGCAATTCATTTCCCTTTCAGTTTTAATGCTAAGACTGTCTTTAAGTCATTGATTTCTCATCCTCTCAGTTCGTCATTAAATATCAATTTTTTGTTTTCTTTTTAAACTCAGGTTTTTCGAAAATGGCTTCATTCATGTAATTCAGAATCTTTTCAGCTTGTCACTCTCCTTAGTTTCGTCCATAAAAACTAGCACTAGCGATTAAAATTGCCGCTTTGAAAAATGCTACCGCAACTTCCCCAATCTTGTCTAAAAAGATTCGTAATTATCGCTTATTTAAAAAAAAATCTCGACCCTTTATTCACCTCCTTTATAAAGACTCTTTTCAGTTAGTAAAAAAAAGAAAGAAAAAAAAAACTAACTCAAAGTATTCTAAAAATAACCCCTTCGGCTCGTATAAATAATTTCGGCCTTTGTTGCACAATTCCAAGCGGCTTCAACTTTTTACGAATTCTTATTTTTGTTAGAGCTATTTGTATTTCTTCTAGGTTGTTCAGCTTTTTTACTTTCCGACTAAATCAGTGTTAATTTGAACATTTGACAATACTTCCATCAAAGATTTTGAATAAAAAAATAATTCTACATTGTGGTATAGGCACCCGATTATATGATGTGGACATTTTTCAATTGAATGATTGGCCTGTTCCAGAACTGCAAGAATATAAAACTTTTTATTAGATAACCGATTTTCCCTTTATGATATCGGAAAATATTGCAAAACTTGTAGATTCTTGCAGGTTCTGAAACAGAGCATATTTGTAATTTGGAATTTTGCATTGTCATTATTGAACAAACATTAGTTTTTTTATAGGATCTACTTTTTCGACAACTTAAATTTTAACAAAATTAGCGAAGGAAGTCCTCAATTTGTATTATATTGTTTGCACCTTTCTTTGCTCTCACAAAAATTTTTAACCTTTATTAAGGTATGGCGAGTTCACAAAATTCACTTTGCACATGCGTTTTTTGTCATTTGGGGCAGATGATAAACAACTCCATTAAAAAAAATTGTATATTCAAATGGTTATCGATTTCCATCACACAAACATACCACTGGGCATTTCTTTTGTTTTAAATAATCCAAAATATTTCCAATTAGATGTTTTGTCGGCACTTTTTTTCTGTACAGATTAAGAAGTCGGATGAACGGAAGAGTAGAAGACGAAGAAGGCAGTCATCATCATGTTCTTTTAAACTTCTCAAATGACTGATGGATTTAAGTGTCAATTTCTGTTGTAGCAGCCTTCAAACTTTACAACAAACTGTTATGCCAAACCCCACAACACAAACACACACACACTCACATCACATGCACCCAGGAGAGGGCAATAGTCTTTACGAATGTCGTAATAGGCAGGCAATATTTTCAAAGGCACAGAACAGAAGTTATTGCAATTCTTTTTTGTGCACACCATTTCAACAACATTTTGGTTGGTTTGTTTTCATCTTTTTTTTAATAGTTTTTTTTATCAATTGCCTTTTTGGACTGCTTGAAAAAAAGAAATCAACACAAACTTTTAAGTTTTGATAGTTATTATTCTTTACCTATTGCATCCAATATATCTATGAAACGATATAAAACCATGACATTTTTTTAATGTCTAATAACAACAACAACAATATTAATAATATATATGTATATAGAAACGACTTGGACAACAAGAACAATTTATAACCGTTTTTTTTTGTTTTGCCGTAAACACGAAATGAGAACACGCAATATTATTTTTTTTTATTTTTTGTTTTGTTTCTTTTTTCGCTTTAATTCTTGCCGTTTTGAAATTTTATAGTATTTTGTCGACTGTTTGGTGGCGGCGCGATGTTCCCAATGAATAATGTTGATTACGATGATGATGGCACAGAACAGACGTCGTCGACAACAACGATGTCGATGATGATGATGTTATTGTTGTTGGTGATACCGCGAGACTGCTGCTGCAACTGTTTTTAACGCGTGCCATCACTTCAACCAACAACACCTCAATAATATTGACTCTTGAACGAAATAATAAAAATAACACTGGCGACCAAAAGCGAGACCAAACAGAGAAAAAAACTGCACACACAATTCTTCAACTGTGGCGACGAGACTGAGGAGCAGGGCCCACGAACAAACCCTGCTTGCTTGGTCTCCACACTCAAAGTGTCTGTCCTCTTCTCGTCAACGAACAGCCAGCAGTACACATGTTCTTTGGCCACTCTAAAGTTGGGGAGGAGGTGGTAGTTGGGAGATTGGCGAACAAAGTATGCTTGCTGCTGCGGCGGCTGATTTTACAAAAGCGTGGAGTATTTTGGTACAAAAATAACCGCATTAAAAATTTTTCGTTGTAAGGAGAAAAAAAAACTCCCCGAAAAATAAAGAACGGCTACAAAGACGAACAGACGACAAATGTTGTGTGTGTCTTTTATAAAATCAAAATTTTAACTAAGAATAGGGAAGAACTTTTTATGTTGTTGTAGCCGTCGTCGCACACTTTTTTTTCGTCTATAAAGGAAGCTAAACACAAATAAGAAGCAAAAAAACACCAGAAATCGGGAGGGAGTGTGGTATTTTCTTCCGGACACCAGCTCATATACACGCACACACGATACACCAGAAAAGGCGCAAACGATAAAAATGTTGAAGAAAAAAAAAAAACAAATAGCTTGTCGTCGTCATCGTTTCTGCTGCAAACTTTAAAAGGTGCCGTCGTCTCCTTGCCTACATCCCCTTCCGTTTTACCTTCCTAGGCAAACAAACAAAACAAACTGCCTGCCCGGCCCGCCTGACTGCCTTCCCATTTGCACACACGACAACGACGATGACTACAACGTCTACTCCTGAGGTCTTCCTCTGCGCCGCAGTCATGAAGAAGAACAAATAATATGTCTAGATTTGTGGCAGGCAATGCATTTATCTTTTCTCTGATTTTTGTTTGTTCGAGTTTCTACCGTTTAATGTTTTCACTGCGTCCCTCCAGTTCTTGTAAAATATTAAAAAAACGAAAACAAAAATAAAATTCATATGTATGAAATGTTGTGTGTGTGACCAAAATAAACTTTGAATGTGGCATCTCATAACTTATGTAGCACCACCAGACATTAGCAACGACAGCTGTGCCATTATTTTTTATTCCTATAATGGTGTCCGATTTTTTTTTTTTCGCCAGAAAACGTAAATTGTTAGGGAAACACTTAAATGGTAACAAGTACCGCACCGGAGCCTTTATACATTAAAAGTTCTGTTTTTTTTAAGAAAAAGCCCGACGAGTTAAAAAAATTAACGTCGATCGTAAAACTAGAAAGATCTTGACCCAATAAGGGCTTGAATAAAAGATCTGCAAGCTTCTAAGTAAAAATACTTGTGAATTCTGCTAGGAGAATATTCTCGTTTACTTACAAGTATTGCTGAAGTTTACTGGATTAAGTTTATTCAAAAAATTCACAAAATCGGCTGGTCTCAAAGAAAACATTTTCGGCGCAGGACTTTTACTTGCACATTTACCAAATCTTTTTCAGATGTAATTCGAAACATTTTAATTGTAACTTGAGAACTCTATTTGTAATTCGAGTTATTCGAATGTTAAAATACCATGTATGAGTCTATAATTTGAAATCAAGTTAAAATATTTAATTTCTGTTTTCTAATTTGAATAATCGCACTCTTCGGCCAAAAACAAACTGATCGATCAAATTTTAAAAGAATTTCCTAAACATTTCTCCAACAACAATTTGCAAACTCTCGGAAAGTATTGCTCTCTCAATTCGCTCTAACATTCATTAAAATTTGTTACAAATTAATGTGTCAACAAACACACCTATTGTATTTTGCAAAATTTCCAAGCTGTATCAGTGGGCAGTTCGTGAAATCTTATCGAAATGCATTTCTGAGAATGTCAATGTGCCGAGATGGCAGTTCTTTTTTAAATAAAACTTTGAAAGTTTAGCTGTATTTGTTTTAGTTTCGGATTGGTCAAAAAGATAACGTCTAACCCCTCCTTGGGCAGCTAAAAACAAATTTTATGACTAATTAAACGAAAAGGATTCCACGCCAAATGTAATTTTAATTAGAATGACTTCTCATAGCAATTCATATTTTATCGAAGTTTTAACTTAACTGTAGAAATAAAAACGCTTCATTGCTGTTTTGCATTATCGTTTTGAGGATCAACATATGTATGCCCTAGAAAATGCTAATTTTACATAAATCTCATAACATTCATCATCATTGAAAATCCATGTAATTTTTTTTTATTTTTCACTGATTGAGATTCAGTTTTTAGGCCTATAAATATTGCAGTAATAAAAATAATTTATTCAAATCCATGAGACATCCTTATTCCAAAAGAAAAAAATATGACGCATGCTTAATGTAAACATAAAACCATCATGATTTTTTAATATCCCTAATATCCATTGGTTTTGTTTCTGTTTGTTGTTGTTGTTGTGGGGGAGGTTAACGCAGGCAAATGTTTTGATATTTCATATTTTTTGCAGCGTATGCCTAATTCATATACTGCAAGTATCGATTTCATAACAACATACACCAACAACTCAACATACATATAATTTAATATCTGGTCTTATAAGAAAGGCATCCCCTCAGTTTTATTATAACATGTTTGCCTTATTTTATGGGAAATGCAAACATTAGCTATTCGATATTACTATTATTCATTTTTGGCCTTATTTTTCGTTCAATATTGATCCTTGACTTTATTTGATGAATAAATATATTTGAAGTTCTGACTCATACTTAGTCCTCAAGAACATGGGATGAAACCGCATAAATTGGTGTTTTAAATACCAATGAAAAATTAATAAAATGAAAAGGTAATATTAAGAACCCACTAATGGGGGGCTTGGATGCAATAGTGAATATCGGATGTATATCCAACATATTTTCATTTAACGTGCCATTTACATTGCCAGCTCCATCGATTATAGGTCATATAAAAGGCGTATTATCGAAAAAAGCAAAATGTAGATGTTATAGCTTAGAAGCTGAAAATCCCCTCCATGCTTATATCTGTATATTATTGAGCTTCTAATTCAAATTTATTAGACAAGTCAATTCCGAATAATAATTTCAAGATCAAAACTCATTAAAACAATAAAATCCTTAATGTAATATATGAGTATCAATTGGGTCGTAAAATCGTATAAAAAGATTTGAAATTTTAAAATTACCAAGGAGTGTGTACCAAAACGTGAACAGCTTATTGCGAGTTTTAAGTTCAAAATGTAAAACAATTCCATTAAAAAAGTGGTTAAAATGATAAAAATACCGAATTTCGGTAGGTACCTTTATATCGGGAGTCATAAGAAAACATGAACGTATGGATAATACAGTGGTTGCTATTTATAGTCAACACCGAATATGAAATTTGAAACAGTTCCGTAGAAAAATGTGTCTAAAATTCTCAAATATAGTATAAATTGGCCCTTCATAGACGATGTTCTGCCACCGGAGGAAAGTATAAAAATGAGGTTTAAATAATTTCAAAATCGAATATCAGGAGGTACCATAATTAGGAAGCTTTAGTAAACGTGTTAACTCTAAAAGTTAATTTTACAAAAATCCTTTGAAAAAGTGCTTAGGATCAACAGAATATCGGGAGATGACGCTATGACAGGATTATACGTAAACAAGGACCAAGGTAGACAGTGTTTGTTATCTATTGCAAGCATCAATTTTTTTACTCTTCCATTGAAAAACGTGGCTTAAATACAGAATATCGGAAGGTTGCTATATCGTTGTATGGGTGCCATATGAAGACGTGGACTGACATGACCCAATTACGAACTTACTGACAAAATACACATGCGTTTTTACCTTTTATTTCAATTCTTTCGAAACAGCTTGATACACAGACAGGTCTAAAGTAATTATTTCGAGGAGATAAAACAGAATGATCAATAGTAGGAGACTTCGATATACATATTGCACCTCAAAGCAGGGTTATTCATGACTTATACATATTTATTCCTGTGAAAATTATTTTTCGACTATTTGCTTTCGACATTCATATCCATAATGAAACCTATTTTCCATGGTAAAAAAAAATGGAGGACAGAATCATTGTTAATGACAAGAAATACTCCCAGATTGTCCGCATGAAACTGAAAATTAGGACTTTCACAATATTTTTTATTGTACTGTAAGGGCTTTTTGTATCTTAAATAATTCTGAAATCAAATTCCAAATCCGTTACACGGTAATTAATCACTAGCCTCCTTTCACTGCTAATTTATTCCTTTTATCCCTTACTCACCACTTAGGGTAACTAAAAAGTCGTTTCCAACCAGCTAATCATAACTTTCCTCATATTCTGCACTACAACTCTGTTGTAACATATCAAGAGGGGCATTACACATTTCCAACTGTGTTTGTTTTGTCATTTTCCTCATTCACATCAATGTATGATTTGGACTAGAGATATGCATGACTCTTATGTGTGAATACATTTGTGTACGGATAGATAGACGGTGGTGTGCATATGTTCCTAGTTGATGATGATGATATTCTTGTATACTTAAGCCATAGCCAGCCAGTCAACCATCCAGCCATAGTTAGCGCACATATCCAATACAAAACAAGAGCACACTTTTCACCATACGCCGGGTCGTCCGGCCGACCGACCGACTAAATGGCGCACAGAGGGAAAAGGCATGTATGCCAGAACAGAACAAGAATAACAAACCCCTTAAAACTTTATTTGACTTGAAACCATATAAAATATTAAAAATTGCATATCCCAAGTAAAGAAGTGGTAAAAAAGGTGTGGGGATGGCGCTGATGTTGGCCTGGCTAGGCAGCTGTTTTTTCCTTCTAGTTGTTTGTTCCGTTTTCTCTCTTCATTTTATTTTTTTTTTTTGAATGAAATTACGTTACATTCAAAACATCAAGAGGGATGGATGGATGGAGCATGGCATGGCATGGATGAGAATAATGAAAGAAAAAAAAATCAATAATAAAAGAAGGGGACTAAGAAGGAACAGTATTCTTTGTTGTGTACAATTCCATGAGTAGGAAAACAGAAAAGCACACGAGACAAAATAGCAAATGATGACGTAGTTGATTGTGAGGGCAGCGGGGGCAATATGTTTGGCCACCCCTTCCACACACAAAGCAAAAATGCTACAACACTCTGACGTCGTTGCTTGGCTGACTGGCTGTCTGTATGTATAATGGTGGCATAAATGTTAACGTTGGCGCCTACAACGACGTCGTTTCACATTGTAGCACGGCACTTGTCTGTACTTTTGCTAATGGGGCAATACTGGAGGTTCGTCTGATTGTTACAGAGACAACGTCAAGCTTCTTTTTTTTGTATGCCATAACACTGTAGTAGCTTGTTCGTGGTGTCTCGAATTCTCAAG